GTAAATAAGATTACAGAGCTAAATATCAAATGAATGACTCATGTAGAAAGACTTTCTTCAATTTTTATTCCTAGGTATGTAGCTCACAGGCACTTTTGCCTGAGAACATGATATAACAGATATTTCCAAGCCACATCCATCAGCTAAAGCACTGGTCAACTGAATCTACATCTGTGCAGCTAAACTAATTTCATAGGAAGTCTTGCTAAGTCAGTAGCTAGTTTGCATCCTAAATTCAGAAATTAGTCATTTTTCAACCCTTCTCTATCAATCAACTCACTGATTTATTTAATTGTCCTACAGTCCCTACCAAAGGCTTATCCTACATCAAGAGATTTGTATCCTACAATCAGCTTGGGGAACAAAGAACAAATGTAACTCAACACAGCAGTTACAGGATCAACAGATTATTAGGTTGAAAACTGTTTGGGGGATAAACTAACAAATACCACACAATTCTGTTTAGTCTTTTCAATTACAAAAGAAATCTTCCAAGCAATTCAAGCAAAGTTCTAAGTTAATTCATGTTTTCAAATCTAGACATAGGGGTGCCTCACAGTAAGGCACATCTGTCATCAGATAAGGGTGAAGGTACAAACTTTACCTACACAACTTGAAAGGAGTTTCAAATAATTGAAAAGAAATGACATTTGAGACCAGAGTCAAATCATTTATTTAGGCAGAATTATTTTAAAAGGAAATTTTGTAATATAGCACAATCAAAATACTAAAGAAGTTCCTAATCTTAAGGTGCTGAGGACATGATCTCATGACGATATTGGCAATTTCTACAGATCTTCAGGTCACAAACTCAAAAAAATTTACTGAATTTTAAAACAAGCCTACTTAAGTTTGTGTTATACTCAGCAAATCAATTTATTTCAAGATACCCACCTATATTAGTTGCCACTGCATTAATGCTACGACATATTTTAGAAATCGTGATCATGTAGTTTAGGCCCTAAAATGGGCCTGAATTTGAAACTTCGAAAAAACCAGTGATAGAAGAGCACTGAGTAACATCATTTTCAGGGGCTCCCTCAGATTCCTCCACGCAGGAAGAAGTCAATCCATAAGAGTACTTCGGGTGCACTAAAAGGCAGTTTGGAGGTGGCTATATGGACCCTGATTATGAACAGTACAAGGGGAAAAGGTTATTACTGCACCAGAAATTACCATCATAAAAATATTACAAATATTATCAAAGTCAGACAGGATCAATGCACAGAGGGTTTTATTTCTTCAACACTAGCAACTACCTAACAAAATATGCTCAACAAATCAGTTGTCTGAAAATTGTGAAAAAGTTTACATTCCTACATAATTATAGAAAGAAGAATTTTTAAAAATGTGATCGCAATATTTATTTTAGATCCATAATCTGATTTTAATGTAAATACCCTGCAAATAAACATGCTACAGGTTTTAGAAATGAGAAAAGAATTATAATGAAAAAAGAAAGAATCCCAAACGCAGGACCTGGAACCTCAATTAATTCGGCACAGCTTTGCACTGCCAAATAAAAAGTCTATCACAGAAAGCTACATCCAAGTGTAAAACTTCTGTTTCTGGACTTTGATCCAAGCCGTCATAAAAACTTGTCCTCCTCACTTAATATTTCCTATTTCCAGCACATGCCAAATATTCTCAAGCTTTTGCCTGGTACAAAACAAAGCAATAAAAAGTCAATCATGTCACCCCTACAACACTAAATGATCTAAATCATCACCCACACTCATAGAGGCGATCAGTAATTAATGAAAGGTAACTTTATTCTAATATGCTGTCAATAACAACAGCTGTTAAGTGGCATTAGCACCAGGAAGGCTTCATTTGTAAATGCATGCACATTAAAGCCCTCAATTAACACAGTACCTCGGGCCTGTAGTTCTGCAAATCGTCCACAGTTGTGTGAGTGGGAGTTTTCCAAGCATAGTTTACTAGTCTCATATTAATTTTTATGACGTATGTTATGAATTGTTTAATTGACAAGAATTCACATAAACACGTTGTGATAACTAAAAAGCATCTAGTTCTATGCTACAAGCTATAGTTTTTAATAAGGTGCGTAGCTTTGTATTTGAAGACAGTTACAGGAAACGGTGTAATATAGCAGCATAACTGCTTTAAGGCCAACCAAAATTCCCAGGTGTTTAAAATTGAGGAATGCCAGAAACTTCATTATGTTCAATGGCTACCACTGAGTGCAGATCATTCAGTCTGAGACTAGGATAGAGAGGCATGCATAAATGTCAAATGACAATAATATAGAAATAGTTCCATCAGCAAGCTTGGTTACTGATGCAGATGGTCAACCTGAGAGAAAATAGATTCATTTCAAATCTTAAAACATGCTACAGGTCTCTACAGAACTATTCTGTTTCGTGGGTTTCTTGAATCACATGTGATATTTATTTCACACTTAAAAAGTGTAACAAAAGGGAAAAAGCAAAGTAATGTGAGCTTCCAGTTAAAAAAGAAAAATTCTTAGCTGTAAAGCTAAAATGCATGCAGTAAGTTTTTACCATAATAACGTGAACTACACTGAGATTAGTAGTTTGACATTTTTATAATCAATTAATGTCCAATCTCTTATTCTTAAATCTCCAATTAATGACACCAAATATAAAGCCAAACTGGAATATTGTTTCATGAAGGACTTCTGGCTACACCAAGTAACTAGATTACATTCTTTACACTGACAACTCTCAGCACTTTGTAACTCCTAAAATTGAGGGCCTGCACTACTCTTAAATATTTTACACTTTCACTTTCCAACTTAAACTCGACATAAACTCTTCTCCTAAAAACATACATACGCGCAAATATATATTACAGAAAGTGTTCAGCCTGTTGCCAATATCAACTATAATTTTAAAACCCTAACCAAAAAAATTCTTTAAAAGTCTTTTGGAATCTCAGATGATCTCAGTTTCACTAACATGGAAATTTTGAAAAATAGGATTTTAATCCTATGCTACTTGGGAGAAAAAGTGATGGGAAAAAAAGGTAACTTAACCCTTTCGATGTATTTTCCAATCAAATGTTGCTACACTTTTCTAAGTTTTGGCAGACGCTGAAAATGAACTGTTCTTATCGATGAATGGTCAAAAACTATCAACAAACTATCCCAAGTTTACGTCTTTAAAGGAAAAAGGCAGAACAAAGAAAAGAACATTTATGCTGATTTATTGGACAAATAACTTTTTTCTTTAAACTGTTAATAACCTGCCTAAAGGACATCTCCAACACACACTTAAAAATCAGCCGAGCTCTCTGGCCCCCTCCCCATCCTATGCGCTGTAATTCCATGAGCGCAGGGGTGAGAATGTGCGAGAGTGCTTGGAAACGGTGGATGGATGGCCTTGGAGCTGCAGGTGACCCCTGAAAACCGTGGGCCCACAGCAACTGATAATTCTAGACCTAGACAGCCCTAGTGGCTCACCCTCAACTCGCATAAAAGTGCCGTTAAAAAGAAACCACTTCCAGAGCCATCCTCTGGCGCCCCGGCTTTAGGATTTTGAAGGAGGAAGGCGAAAGCAGGGAAGAGGACTTAAAAAGGAGGGCTGGGTAATTAAACAGAAGAGACAGGATTTGTCCCAGAGCCTCATCTGTCGAAAAACTCCGAAAGGGATTAAATCAAGACCAACTCTGAAGGTTCCTTAGAAAAAACCGGATTAAAAAGGGCCTAACCTAAGACCCCAAGGTAACAGATCTGAAAGAGTAAAGAAAAGACAAAAAAAAGCCAAACGGTCCATTTATAAGGGGGCATCACCCCGCTGCTGTGACCCGGGCGCCACCACCCAGACCGGTCCCCAGCGCCCCCCCGCTGGCGACAGTAGGAAGGGGATGCTGGAGGAAGTACCTTGTTTTGTCCCCAAAGGGCAACATAGCCAACGCGGGAAGTTCGATTCCGAGCTCCGCCGACGCCGGACTCCAGGAGGCCGCACGCAGGCCGCGACGCGCCAGGTGGGCGAGGCCGGGACGCGGCGCCCGCTCCCCTACGGCCCGGGCCGCAGCGCCGCCGCCCGCCGCCTCCCGCTCGCCCCGCGCCGCGCCGCCCCCTGGCGGGGAGCGCCCGGCAGAGCCCCGGCCGGCTCCGCCACCATCGCCGCCCCGCGCGTCACCGGCCGCCCGACGGCCGCGGGCCCGGGGCCCCTCTCCGAGGGTTTGTGTCCCGGCGTCAGTCCGAGTCCTGCCGGCGCCCAGCTGCCCGCCAACTCTTCGGGCTTCGGGGGACCCGCCCGCCGCGCGCTCTCCGCTCCACCCTCCGCCCTCTGCTCTGGCTCCGACGCCCGCCCGCTCTCCAGCGAGCGTTTCCCACGCGCCGGCGGCCCGCCCTCCGCGCGGGAAGAGCCGGCCTCGGGGGTCTCCGCGGCCCCGGTCCGTTCGCCGCGCCTCCCCCGGCACGGGCGCGCGCCGCGACCCCGGGGGAGCCCTCCCCTCGGCGGTGCAGCCCCCGGCGGAAAGCGAATGACAAGAACGCGCGGACAACCGAGGGCTGGACGGGGACAAAGGCGAGCGCACTCACTTTGGGAGGGTTCCGGCATGTCGCTGCCGTGGGCTCCCCGCCCCGCCAGGCCGGGCGAGGGGCCGGGGGAGGAGCGGAGCCGCCGCCGCCGACTTGGAAAAGAGCTTCCGGAACGCCGGGCGCGGCTCGGTCCCTGCGGGGTCTGCAGCGGGTCGGGCAGCCAGGAGCGCAGAGAGCCGCTCGAGGGGTCCCGGGAGCGCGGAGTGTGAGGAGGACCCTGCTCCCGGGACCCACGGGGTGGGGTTGCGCTGGAACTTGCGAGCAAGTTGGACAGACGCTGACGCTCGAGTTTTCCGGCCGTGCTCGCTTAAGAGGGGCGCTCTCCGCCTGTGGAAGCACCGAGGACCGACCCAAAAGCCAGCGGCCTGAAGACGGCGGTGACTGAGGGGGGAAATTCAGTAGGGGGCAGAGGTCAGCCCCGGGTCACGCTCCGCGCCCCCGCCGGGTCTCCCGCGGGTCCTCTTCTTACCTGGTGGCTTTTCTAACGAAGTAAGAGAAGGTGAAGTCCCAGTGATCGTCCAGCCACGCTTCCACCGAGTCGCGGTCCCGCTGCTGCCGCCGCCCGCAGCCGGGGCCGGCGCGCTCCATGGTCGGCCCGCGCGTCGCTGCCCCGCGGGCGCCGGCTCTCCACCGCCGCGCCCTCCCTCGTGCGGGACGCTCCTCGAGACGCCCCCTCTGGCGCTCGCTCGCCCGCCCTCGCGGGGCTACGGGGCGCGGGGCCAGCGTCCGCCCCGCCCTCCGGTCCTCGCCGCCCAGGTGTGGCGGGCGGGGCCGCGCGCAGCCGCCCGCGTTCTCGCAGGCTCCGGGCTCGGCTCCCGGGCGGCGGCGGCCGTGGCGACCGCGACTGGCGAGTTCTCCGGAAGCCGTGGCCGCGGCCGGGAGGAGCCGCGCGGCCGCTGGGGTGCGCTGCGTGCCGACCGGCTCCGGGGAGCGCGCCGAGGGCGCTGGGTGTGTTCGCAGCGTCCCCCGGGAAGAGCAGGGTCATGGTGCGGGGACTCATCCGCCAGAAGGCGCGAGCTAGGGGAAGTTTCGCCCGAAAGTGAGAGACGGTGCCATCCTGAGCGCTTGTTCTAGCTCCTGAGGGTACAATGAGCGTCCCCGCTTCCCGGCCCATGCTCGGTCCGGAGGCGCGGGGACCGTGTCCTTGGAGCCCAGAGTGGCTTAAAGGGCTCCAGCAACGGACCGCGCCCGGGTGGGGACAGCGGGGCGTATGCCTGTAGACGGATGTGCGGGTGTAGGTGGGTAACTTCCAACAAACAAAACCATACCTGTGCTTAATTTAATAATAACAACAATTACAATTGCAAATTAAGTGCCTTTGACCATTGCATCAAACTCCCTCTTTTCATAACTGGGAAGAGACTTTCTAGGAAAAGAAAAAGGCAAACTGAAATAATCACAGGTGCTTTGTGGGTGAAGTTAGAAAACAAGGACATCTCTGTACGATTAAATTGAGAGCACCGGCAATACCCAGGTGCGGTCTAGAGCAACCAGTTAGCCCAATTTTAAATTAAGTCATCATTTATATTAAACTGGAATTAACCCTCGAAAAAAGTGTTAAAAAGGGCTCAGCCTTCCTACCCTATTTTGTCCTAGCCCAATCATGCTCAAAAAAGGAGGGAGTTGGTGTCATCCTTTGCTTTGTCCTCATCCTCATCTCCGTGTCACGAATTTGCAGTTTTAATAGGCATTTTGCAATGACCTGATTTTTTTTTTTTGAAGAATTATATCTGGAGTTGTATGTTGCACGTGTGAATGACACCATTAACAGTGATATACCAAAAGTGATTTAGTTAACATAGTTAACAAACTTCCTTCAAAATACTCTTGGCCAAAATGTAAGACATTTACTGACTACATAGAAATACGTAATTAAATTGATAATATGGGGACTTTAAAAAATGTCCTTCAGTCCCCCACTGCAGTGGTTTATCTTTCCTGTATTGAATAATTGTCCTTTTGTAACTTCAGTTTCTCTGACACTTTACTGTTAAATTCAAGTAACCACAACCAATAAAGCAAAGCAGTAGTGTGAAGCAATGATAAATTATATCATACTTTAAAATGAGAATTCTCTCCTAATTTGTTGCTATGATAGTGATTACAGTACTCATGAAATAATTGTGGGTTGCATAGGGACAGGGATACACATTCTGAAAAATGTGTCCTTAGGTGATTTCGTCATTGTGCGAACATCATAGAATGTACTTACACGAACCTAGGTGGTATAGCCTACTACACACCTAGGCTGTATGGTGCCTATATTATACAGCAGTGGTCCCCAACCTTTTTGGCACCAGGGACCAGTTTCATGGAAGATAATTTTGCCACGGACCAGTGTGGGAGCATTGTTTCGGGATGTTTCAAGTGCATTACATTTACTGTGCAATCAGACCTCTTGGCTAATGATAATCTGTATTTGCAGCCACTCCCCAGCGCTAGCATTACCACCTGAGCTCCACTTCAGATCATCAGGCATTAGATTTTCACAAGAAGCACGCAACCTAGATCCTCTGTGTGTGGTTTACAGTAGGGCTTGTGCTCCTATGAGAATCTCATGCTCCTGCTGATCTGACAAGAGGCGGAGCTTATGCAGTGTTGCCAGAGATGGGGAGCGACTGTAAATACAGATGAAGCTTGCCCACCTGCCGCTCACTTCCTGCTGTGTGGCTGGTTCCTAACAGGCCACAGACCTGGTGGGGACCACAGCTGTACAGCATGTTACTGTACTGACTACTGTAGGCATTTGTAGCAATGGTATTGGTGTATCTAAATGTATCTAATCCTAGAAAAAGGACAGTAAAAATACAGTATTACAGTCTTATGGGATTACCACAATATATGCAGTCTATTACAGTTGACCGGAAATATCTGTTAATATGGCCCATGGCTATAGAATTTCTCCTCATTGCTGTTTTTTTTTCCTGTGGAAATGCATGCATTCCTCCTAACAGGAAGTCAATTATAATTTAAAGCTTTACTTACCTACTAAAGATGGAGTGAATGCTCAGCTTGAAGTGTTTGCTTTGGTTGGCTACAGGGCTTAAATAAACAGTTGTGATGGTCTGCAGATTTGTGTCTCCTCCAAAATTCATGCTGAAACTTGATCCCCAATTCAACGGTATTAAGGGTGGGGGGCTTTACAAGGGGATTAGACCATGAGGGCTCTGCCCTTATGAATGAATTAGTGTCATATTATAAACGGGCTTGAGGGGACAAGTTGGCCCCTTCTGTCCCCTCTGCCATTGAGGACCATTATTGGCCTCTACATCAGATGCCGCAACAGGTGCCATCCTAGAAGCAGAGAGCATCCCTCACCAGACAACGAGTCTTCTGGCACCTTGATCTTGAAGTTCCCAGCCTCCAGAACTGTGAAAAATAAATTTCTATTGTTTATAAATTACCCAGTCTGTGGTATTTTTAATAGCAGCACAAATAGACTAAGAGAATGGGCAATATCCAAATGTCCTTTTCTCTCCTAACCTGAAAAGTGTTAAATTAATGGAAACCAGGAAGGTTTCTGAAAAACTGCTGCAAGAAAAACAATCCATGGATTCTCCCAACAGTGCATCTCAGTTCTGTGTGATACAGATGGTGGGTTGGGAGTTACAGTGAAGGCTTGATATCTGAGGAACTCATCACGAGGGGTTGGGGGACAGAGGTGTTTCAAACAGTTCTAGTCTCTAGGCAGCTCAGATAAAACTTGTATCAATACCTCTTGTAACTTTAAAGTACTTAAAGGTAAGCATATTTTGAACTGGCCTTACCCTGGCCTCTTGTTTTCCAGCTCCATTTTATTCTTTATCCCAATTTGCTCAATTATTTTATGTTTTATCTTGGTATAGATTGCTCTAAGCACTTCAATCTTATTATGGAATGAATTGAAGAATAAGTAAATAATAAACACTACCAGAAAATAACTTGAGAAATGCTGTTAATGCTATTTATAACAAACAGTCGTGCAATGACTTAACATGAAAACCTCCATTGTAGTCCCACTGTACTAGAAAAAACTCAAGCTCGCTCTAATGGCTTACGAGATTCTACATTATTTGTCTGTTACCTGCCTCTACTGTTAAAGGTTTTGGTCATACAACTAGGAAAAAAACAAACAAAACCACAAATGATCAAATTTATTTTCCAAAAAAGACAACATAAATTGTAACAGTTACTGCTTTTTTTTTCAAATACTACACATAAAATAAAATAAAATACTGTTCCTTTGCAGCAATCCTGCAATACATAAGATGAAATAAAATTAAAAGTGCATGAAGCAACTTTGTCAATAAATTCAATAATTTAGATGAAATGGATAAATTCCTTTAAAAAAACTAACCAAAACTGACACAAAATGAAATTAGTAATTCTATTGAAATAAAATTTAATAACACATTGAATTTATTATTTTAAAAAACCTTCCTACAAGGAACACTTCAGGCCCAAATAGTTTCACTGGTGAATTTGATCAAACATTTAAGCCAAAAGCAGTAATTTCATTAGGCCAGAAAAACCCTGATACTAAAATATGACACAGTTATTAAAGAAAACAATATCCCTCATGATATAATATAAAATCCTTAAACAATTATTAGCCAATTGACTCCAATAATATATAAAAATATTTTTAAACAATAACATCCATTGACTGTGATTTATACCCAATATATATTTTCAGTTTAACATTCAAAAATCATTTATTACAACTCACCATATTGACAAAAATAAGCAAATGATCATCTCAGTCGATATAGGAAAAAAATACTTGACAAAATTCAATGCCCATTCATGATTAAAAAATTAATAATCTCCAGCAAACAAGGAACAGAAGCATACTTTTCAATTTGATAAAGGGCATCTACTAAAAAAACCTCCCCCTAAGATTGGAACAAGAAAGCCTATGCTTACCATTGCTATTCAATATTGTGCTGGAGTCTTAGCCAGAACAATACAGTGAAAAACAGAAAACAAACAAAAACAAAAAAAGACAAGGCATTGAACTTGGAGAAGAAAAAGTAAAACTTTGTGTGTTTGCAGACACGAGTGTCTATGAAGGATACTCTAGAGAAGGTACAAAGTGACATAAGAATTAAGACATGATTTAGCATAAACCATTTATTTAGCATAAATGGTCAATAGACACAAATCAACTGTATTTCTGTACACGAGTGCTACGGGCAGAATTGTGTCTCCCAAATTCACATGCCGAAGCCCTAACTCAGAGATAGGGCTTGGAAAGGGCAATAAAGGTTAAATGAGGTCATGTGGATGGTTCCAATCTAATCCGGCTGGTGCCTTTATAAGAAGAAATTTGCACACACAAAAAAGAGACACCAGGAATCCTCTCGCATAGAAGGATAGCAAGAGGGGCAGCAAGAGGACGACCACTTGTAAGCCAAGGAGAAAGACCTCAGAGGAAACAAATTTCTGGCACCTTGATCTTGGACTTCTAGTCTCCAGAACTGTAGGAAGATAAATTTGTTATTTAAGCCACCCAGTCCGCGCTGCTTTATTATGGCAACCCTCACGAACTAATACAACTAGAAA